CATAAACAAAACAACATAGAGAACAATAAAGATCATACAGAATTTCAAAACAAGAGGATAGGATACTAACAATGGTTGTTTATTACATAATGTTATCTTCAAAATGGTTGCACATATAACCAGATATAGGCATGTGTAGTGGATTGATAACTGGTGGTCAACTTATAACCCCCAACTGAACTGAGTAAGGGTGATGCTGGGTTTGGGAGGCCCACCTGGGGATTGTTGCCAGCAGCATAAGAGGCAGAACTGGAGAAGAAGGAGGAGGCTGTTGGGATCTGAAAGGCTGTTTGGAGCTAAGAGAGGCTGTTTGGACATGGTAGAAGCTGTAAGGAGCTATTGGTTGTTTTGGAGGAGCTCATCATGCTGGCTTTCCTGATGAACATGGCTGTTTTCATCCTCAAAGGAGCTCTGGACCAGAGAATGGCTCTGGTTCACTTTGGGGGAGCTCTGGTCCTCACTTTGAGCATCGCTTCCTGGCTCTGGAGGGGAAGATGGTGTACTGCTGGCCTCCTGGAGAAGCTTGCTGAATTGGCTTCCCTGATGGGAAGTCAGCCATCTTGATCATCAGAGGAACTCAGGACCTCACTGTTGCTGAAGATGGCTGTGGTACCTTTCAAGGGAGCTCTGGTTCTTTTGAGCATCGCTTCCTGGCTCCAGTGCAGATCCTTCAGCCTGCTAGCACAGATCCTTCTTCCCACTGGCACAGACTTCCTAGATTCTACTGCTGACCTTTGGATCTTCACAGTGCAGATCTGCGAAATAGGCCTGCATGAGACATTGTCATGGGCTCTGGGCCTCCAGTTGGATACGTGGGAAGCATTGTTATGAGCTCTAGGTATTCAGCTAGACTCATGCAGGACATTTCCGTGGGATCCAGGCCCTCGGCTAGTTTCCTTGGTCTTGGTATGTGGACAGATTTCCTGTACTCTCTCATATATCATTCTTTAAGATTTATACATAATCTTATAGAATATATGTCCTGTATTATATTGTTTCACCTTGCACAAAAACCTCCAAACCAACACAGCATATAAGATTGATCAAACAATTACACATTAACAGTTCCTTTCAATAAACCAACAGGTATTAGTACTAAAATTATCCTAGCTATCCTGTGTATACATATACATATTTTTTTCCTTTCCTTCTTTCTTTTTCTTCTCCCCTCCTTCATCCCAGTTGCTCCTTCCTATTTGAGCAGTTTCTTTTCCCTTTCACAATATCTGTTATACCTTTCAGATTTTATTTACTCTTTCAGGTTCTTACAGTAGGGAGGAAACATGGTGTTTACATATGTGAAACTGATTTATTTCACTTATAAGTGTGGTCTCTAGTTGCATCCATTTACCTATTAAAAACCTCTAGTTGGGGCTGGGGATTTAGCTCAGCGGCAAAAGTGCCTGCCTGGCAAGCTCAAGGTCGTTGAGTTCAGTTCCCGGTATCAGAGAAAAAACAAAAACAAAAAACCTCTAGTTTATCTTTTTTATAGCTGAGTAGTACTCCATTGCATAAAAATACCACATCTTTTTTATCCATTCCTCAGTTAGTGGGCATTTGGGTTGTTTCCAAGATTTAGCTTTTACAAATTGTGCTGCTATAAACATGAGTGCACATATTTTACTGTGATATGATGTTTTCAGTTCTTTTGGAAAAAATACTCAGAAGGGGAATAGCTGGGTTGAATGGGACCTCTAATTCTAGTTTACTGAGGAGTCTCCAGACTGATTTCCACAGTGGTTACACCAGTCTACACTACCACCAGCAATGGAGAAGAATTCCTTTCCCCCCACAGCCCCTCCAGTATTTGCTGTTTGTTGATTTCCTGATGGTAGCCATTCTTTCTGGGGTGAGGTGGAATCTCAGTGTTGTTTTAAGTTGCATTTCTCAAATAACCATTTGATGTTGAACATGTTTTAATGTATTTATTTTCCATTTGTATTTCTTCATCTAAGAAGTGTGTATTCATCTCAGATGACCATTTTTGTACTGGGTCTCTGAATTTGGGGGGCCTGATTTTTTTTTTTTTTAATTCTTCATATGTTCTAGACAGGAGTCCTTTGTCTGAGGGACACTTGGCTAAAGTGTTTTTGTAATTCATGGATTTTCTTTTCACCCTATTGGTGATTTCTTTTGATGTGCAAAAACTTTTCAATAAGATAAGATCCTAGTTGTTGATTTTTTTTAAGTATTTCCCATGCAGTTTGGTTTTTTTTTCCAAATGACATATTTTTTAAAGGTCTGAATGAATAGTCATAAAATAAAGTAACTTGCTCAGGTTATAATTCACTTGAACAAACCTTAAGCCTGAAGAAGGTGTTCCAGAAATAAGGAAAGGAGGTAGAAAGGGTATCATCAGAGCTCTGGATCATTTTTTCACACAGATACCTGCATGGTTGAAGTGAAGTCAAATGTTAATAGGACCTGTGTTGCTGTCCTTGTCTAATGAACAACAACAAAAAGAAAACAATAATTGAGAAGAGAGACAGAGACAGACAGAGAGAGGGAAGAGATACACATTCACACACCATCTGTATAGAATTAAAACACTTCTTAAACAGAACTCTATCTGAAACTCCTGGGAATTTTAGAGTAAAGCTTAGATAAATATTTCATGTAACATTTTAAGATGCAGTCATTTATAGTAATTTTAGTGCCCTGATTTCTGTTTGTTTTCAGATTAGAAAAAGCAAATATTTTCTGTGATATTTATATCTGGGAGCTGCCAATTGAGCCCAACTTCATAAGGCTTATCTTTATAAATAAATTAAATAGCATAATAAGGAATGACTGCTTTTCTGTGTCTTTAAACAGAAGCAGTATTAAAAGACCTCTTTTCTTCTTGCTGAAAAGTAAGTCCTGGTCTTTGTAAACAGTGTACCATTTAGCTTCCCAAGTGTATGTGAACCTTGGCTCTAGGTGTTATCTCACATTGTGCTGCTACCTAAGACTTTTTGGAAGCTGCAGCCTTGGCTTCTCAGAAGCAGGTGACAGTCTACCTCTCACGGACCCAGCCAGAGCCTTCCCTTAATGACACAGGTACTTTCTGTAGCACAAGCTCATGGTTCTGTTTTTTCTTTCTCAAACTGTGCTCTGTTGGCGTGCTATTTTTATAACACCAGGTTCTTCTTAGATCTGTGCCTTGATTTCGGCACTGTATCATTCAGTGTACTCATACTGGTTTCAACTACTGATAATGGCTGTACCTGATATTATAGATCTGCATAAAAATGTATTTTCTTTATCCATTTAAAATATCAGTTTGCCAAGCACTTACTGTATGTGCTAAGCACACTACTTGTGTATACAAGGCATTTAATGTCCCTTCATTCAAAAAAAAAAAAAAAAAAAAGGCTTGGAATTTACTGCCTCCCACACACCCTGAAAGACCTGTAGGATGCAACAGAGATCACAAGTGCCATGCTCACCCTCACAGATCATGTGGTTTAGTGGGGAGATGATAAGTGAATCAAAAACTAGCCATAGCAAAATGCTTGTAGGTTATGGAGAGTGATATGAAGACAGGTGAGTGAGAAACAGCAAGGGCTGGCAGATTTCCGTTGAGTGGTCAGAGAAAACTGATCTCAAGGATGAGAAAGATCCACCAATATAGAGAGTACGTGAGAAAGAAGGAACAGAAAAGAGTGAAGCTTTTTTTGCAGGAAAAAGCTTGATGCTCCCTTCTAGGAACTACCAGAAGGCCAGTGGACATTTTTTGGAATAGAAGAGGGAAAAAAAACAGTAGGCAAGAGCCCGGTGGGGAGGGAGAGAAAATGAAACTGCCAGACCATGTAAGATCTCCTAGGATAGTACACATTTGCATTTGAGTCCCAGCACAATGGGAAGCTTTGAAGGGCTTTATGCAACTGGAGATTTGCTGTAATTTCTTCTTTTTTATTCCTGAAAGATAATTCTGACAGATTTTGGAAAATGAACCAAAAGGCAGTGGCAGAGGTGGAGGGACAGTGCTGAGAGATCCCTTAACACATTCTGGCCTTCTTGAGCCACATGCATGACTGTCCCATCGGGTGGCTTGTGCCACTAGTGGTACAAACAGATTTAATCACTTTTATTGGTCTTTTTCTTAATAAAATAAATATAAAGCCACCTGCTGGAGCAGTCATGCATATACTATTGGTTTAAGCCCCCTGGCAATGAGACATATGAGTTACAGCCCCATTATGAACATGTTAAATAACTGCAGTATGGGCAAGAAAAGAACATGCTGAGATTAGGCTTCCCAGAAGTGTAAATGAAGAGAGGAGCAGCTCAAGGTGCATTTCAGAAATAGGGTCTGCAGGATGTGCAGACCAATCACTGGCACATGGAGGAAGGAAGAGTTTTTCACAAGAGAACGGGGGTGACCAGCAGTGCTATATACAGAGTGGGGAAGCTGACTGGCACAGCAAGTTGGAGAAGGAAGAGGTCAGGCTCTAATATGGAGGGGTGGTGTATATATGGGACCCTCCAATAGGTCCATAAGTACCTGGGAGGTAGTGAATCAGTTCCTCGTGGGTTGACAAAAGATTCAGGAATCTAGATGAACAGCTCTTGCCTTAGGAAGTCAAAGGGAAGAATGTTCCTTTGTACAGCTCTGTGCAGCAAAAATTGAATGCTATTGGTGTGAGAAGGGTGGCATATGTTAGGAGCCAGAGACCTGGCGAGAATGGAGGCTTCCCAGGTGTTACTGTTGCTTTTTTATAGGGGCCTTTTCTACAAGAATAAATGAATGTAATTTGCCTTTCTGCCCCCTTTCCTTTCTCTAGGTGAAGTTCATTTACTGGGTACCCAAGGACTCTTGAGAGTTTATGATAAGGACTATGGTGTCCCTGTGGCACCCTCCTAGATCCCTGTCTGGGTTTGAAATGTCTTTGGATATTTTCTTAGGGGAATCTCATAATACCACTCCTCTTCCTATCCACCTTCCACATAATCCTGTCTTTGTGTACAGAGGTTATGAATCACCCATATTCACATGTTTTCATTTATCTTCCACTTAGGTTTTATGGCAGGCACACAAAGAAATCCTCAGATGTCTCAGTATGGGCCTCAGCAGACAGGACCATCTATGTCGCCTCATCCTTCTCCTGGGGGCCAGATGCATCCTGGAATGAGTAGCTTTCAGCAGAGTAACTCAAGTGGGACCTACGGTCCACAGATGAGCCAGTATGGACCACAAGGTAAAAATAAATGTTCTCCAAAATGCATTGGCAGTGGGTGGAGGACATTGTGCTAATTTGCTAGTCCTTCAAAGGTTTCCTATTAATAGAAATGCATTTTAAGCTTCTCGTATTTGTTACCTAGTAGAGTAGGAGAGTAATGCAAATCCCATAGTTCTTTAGATACCCATAGTGAGGAAGAGAATCATTATAGCCACTGTTCCTTAAGTACTTGTGCATCACACACTGGGAAGCACTTCTTGTGTGAGTGAACTCATCTCTACAATGTAGTTCCGGATGTTTGTAGACAAAAATCACAGGCCTTGTCCTCAGATTTGTAATTTAAAACTTGGAATTTATTGTATGGGATTTGAATTTCAGCCTTCCTTCTCAGTAACTTCCATTAGGATGTGAGCTGCTGGTTCAGCAGGGTGTCACCCTGTGCAATATCAGGTAAACAGCCATTGTCACTGCCCCAGTCACCATTGTCCCACTCTTAGAAAATAGGACAGAATCTGACACAGATGTATGCTTCTCCAACAGGAAGAGGAAGGAAGAGTGAGAAAATAACTGGAGCCTTGCCCCAAATACCCTGTTTATATCCTGCTTTCATAGAAGCCACTGTAGGTTTTGTCAAATACACATAGAATCTTTTCAGCAAGGTTTTTGACCTGATACATATTTTATTTTTTTAAGTCATTTTTAGCAGTATGTCATTGAATTTAGCACCTTCTTTGTATTTTGTTTACTTAAATCAGATATTAGTGGATAATTTCGAGAGCATAAGGTAACCTGCCACAATTCCTACAATTTACTTATTTCTGATAATCGCAGGAACATGCCAAGTGGAGATTGAGTACCCAAGAAGAAAATATCTTTAATGCTCACGACCTCTGCACCAGAGGTGGGCCAGCCCCTGGAATACCTTGCATCTCCCAGAGGGGCTTGCTTCTCTAACTCAGAGCCCGGCCAGCCTTTGATGAGCGGCCTTTGAAGCCCAGCGAGTATCCACGAACACCCCAGCACCCCTGTGGCTTTTCCCTCAGCATCTCTCAGAAACTTGTCTTTCTTGTATAGCACTTTACAGTTTGGAAAGTGAATAAGTAGTGTATTAGCAACGGAAGTAGCTAGGGAAACTCAATATCCAAAATATAACTGGGTTCAGTGGTGCACACCTGTAATCAGCACACTGAGGGAGAATGAGGCAGAAGGATCAAAAGTTTGAGTCTTACCTGGGCAATTTAGTGAGACCCTGTCTAAAAATAAAAAAACTGAGGATGTAACCCAGAAGTAGAGTCCTCCTGGGTTCAATTCCAGTATCCCAAAAAGGAAGAAGTGGGGGTGGGATATCCAAAGCAAAACCCTTTCTGTCAGGTCCCTTCATGCCTGTGTCCATATGTCAGAGTAGATAGATTTCTGTGTTTCGTGTGATTTTCATTATACCATATCATAAATAGTTTTTCATATTATTAAGTCGAGCAACCCTTAGGAATTTAGTCCCAATGGACAGTAGTGGTCCACATGTACCTGTTAACCCCAGGTAATTGTGATACATAGCAGTTTGTTGCTGAGCTGAGGCAAGACTATGAGTCATTCCCCAGTGGCAGCCCACAACCACCCTCACTGGGCATGGCAGGCCTTTTCAAAACCAGGATTTGTTATCTATGCTGGAAAGAAGGAAACTATAGAGACTAAAAAAGCAGATTATGAATTATAGTTAGCACAGAAAATATGGGCTTGGTCAGAATGTAATTGCAGACAAGATTAGAGCTCTTTTCTAAGAATTTGAGCTCCTGAAGGTTTAGAAATCAATTTAAGGAAGATAAAGAAAAAACAAAGAATATTTAATTTGGACTTGTGTGAAGCTAATTATTAAAACCATAGGCACTCCAGAAGTAGAGTTCTTTTGGCACACTCACTGACCAAGCATGCTGTTGTGACAGTGGGCTATTAATGCTATCAGTCTGGATCAGGGTACTTGTTTACAACAGCGCGGAAAGATACAGCACATGGACACAAAGGTCTGCAAACTGTCTGTTCCTAGAGTTGGTAGTTCTGTCATTTATTCAAATGTTTGTTTAAAAACAAATTACCTATTGAATCACATTTCACAAATCTGTAAGAAGGTCCCTAGGTGACCTTCAGGAGGCTTCCTGAGACAGTAGTCAAGTGAGGAAGATAGAGACTGTTCCTTTTCTTCCTGCAGGGCCTCCTTCCCCACTGCAGTTGAAAGTCTGTGTATACCTGTGGGGGTGGGGGAGAGCAGGGCAGCCCTGCACCCTGGAGCTCCTGCAGGATGTGATATTAGCAACTTCAACTCATACAATCCTTTGTTGCTCACCTTAAAGACTTCCCTTTTTTATACTAAAGTACAATACAGAAGTTACTGACTTAAAAAGTTTTTCCCCACAGCAACTACATGATAAAAAATCTGGATGAAAAAACTGAGCCTTAATGACAAATAGCTTTCTAAAGGCCATGTACACAGAACCATTTGTGCCATGCCATCAGATTTTACCACCTGGTTTTGCTCATGTGTCCTGGAGTCTGTGTCCAATAATTACCCTGGTGATCATTTTTCTAAAGATCCACTGCTTCTCCCAGGAGAGGCAGGGACACACACACAGCACCCTTACCCACTCACACTTGAACCATCACTACTTTTTAGAATTGTTACTGCTTCATTTTTCTTCATCATTCTCATCACCTGAGGATCTTATCTGTATTTATTTTTCTGTCTCTGCCACCAGAATGTAGGCACTCTCTGTTCCTGTTCACTGCTGAATACCAGCCATTTAATACAGAGCCTGGCTTATAAGAAGTTCTTAGTAAGGATTTCTTAAGTGAATGAATTTTGCTAAGACTGAGAGGGGTCCTGAGACTCTGGCATACCTCCTGGCCCCTGCCTGGATGCTTAGTCGGTTGACATTCAGTGCCTACAAGTAATTTACAATACATGGTGTCTCTTCTGTGGGAAGTGAAACTAAGGCTAATTTTTGTCAGTTTCTGTGCTTGTATATTTTCTGGCTTGAGCTTGAATTACCTAGTAATCAAATTTTAGAGGAGTTAATTGTTGAAACACATATTCAAAAAACTACCAAAAGTGAAACAGTGAAGTGATACCATAAGGTAAGATAATAGTTCTGTCCTTGTCTTTTACAAACTTCATGTAATAGTGTTATCATTTCTATAGTTTAAACAACATTTTAAATCATGGAAATGTAGGAAAAATATAATACCTTGTGTATTGGTTCAAAAAACAAATTATTTATTACCACAAATAGTAGGATTTAGTATAACTTGGGCTAAGTCAGCTTTCATTTTAAAACTGTTTGTAGTCTTCTTAAGTATATGATCAATTTCCCTCACTAAAAGAGTAGGATTGTATGACAGTTATGAGTACAAACAGTCAGAAAGTTTTAAAATAGAACTTTTTGTTTGCACATCATAGAGTCTTAAGTACAGTAACCAGCAAATAAAATTAATAAAAATAATTAGCTGTCATTAGGGAAGTGAAAATTAAAGCCACAGTTATTTCTATTTCATGCCTATTAGAATGGCTAAATGTTTTACTGTTTGACAATATCAAGTGCTGATAATTAGAACTCTCACCCAACATTTGGTAGCAGTGTACACAAAAATAGCACAGCCATAGTTTGCCAGTTTATTATAACACAGACATACACTTACCATCCAGTCCCTCAGCCTCAACAGTAGTTTTATACACAGACTTGTCACAAATGTGGTTAGCAGCTCAGAAACTGAAAAGTGTCCACAGGATGGAATACTCCTAATCAATAAGAGGGAAACTGCTAATACATTGAAAATGCCCATGAGTTCTGAAGTATGATGCTAAATGAAAGAAGCCAGATGCCAAAGGCTGTCCAGTGAGATGATTTACACAGTATTTCAGAAAAGGAAAACCACAGTAGGAAGAACTCGATCAGTGGTTTACAAAGCCTGGGTATGAACATATGATTGACTACAGAAAGGCAAGAGGGAACTTTTTGTCATGGTAGAAATATCAGGAATCATGTTTGTGCTAGTGCTTTGCTTTAATTGCATATGTTATTGAATGAAAATTATATTAATAAATGTGACTTTGTGTAATGGACTGCTATAAAAATGGTAAATATTGTTGGCTGAAAAATAGTGCATGTTTAGCCCTAATTCATAAATACACTTATAGTATATAACTGCACTTTTTTCCACCTAGGGTTGACTGTCTAGTTTATGAAGCATGCCTTTTATATCTTCCTCAGTAGAGATGAATAATGCAGAACCTTGCTTACAGTAATCATCCGTAATTGTTGAATGGTTGAACCTGGGAAGGAAAATTTCTTGTGTGAGTGGAAAACTCAGTAGTTTAATGAAAGCAGTAAGCTTGGAGCATTGATTATGACTACCAAATTTGAACGTTCTAGAGTCAAATGCAAAATTATTTGCAATTCTCCTAAAATAATGGTAGCAACTTGAATAGTCTAGCTACTGCTTCCTCTATCTAGTGCTTGAATATAACTCCTGGTGGGTTGAAATCTGAATTCATTTGGTGACCAATTTTCCAAAGCTGGTGTGCCAAGATGAACCCACTTGAAAACTGTGGGCTCTAGGACTTGGCTAGAAGACCAGTCCAGCTGAGGTGGGCTGGCCCAGCATCTGCTGCCTTCATTGTGCTTAATGCTGCATCCATCTGTTTTCTGTCAAAGCCAGTGCCAACAAATTACTAATCTATTAGCGAAACATGGAAAAAAGATTGTACTTCTCATTCCTGGCTTTTCCTCTTCCTTTGCTTGGCTTACATATTTAGTTTCTATTTATTTTGGGGAGAAAGATATGCTATTGGTTATGTGTATGGGTGGGGGCGGTGAATTATATTTTTCCCCATCCATATGTATTTAAAAGATGGTGGGGAAAGATTATGTTGTTGTTCTGCTGGTGGATGAGGACGAGGGCAGCTGTCATTCATTAGTCTGTGCTGCCTGGCACTGCACTCATCACCTTACCTGCTCCCCATTAACAATGCCACATTCCAGATGAAAGTACCACTGTGCAGAGAGGTTAAATAATTTGCGAAGGTCATGTGCCAGAAAGTATCAGAACCAGTGCTCAGATCCTAGTTCTAAAGTCTGTGCTTCTTCCCTTGCTACCTCGGTAGCTATTTGGAGCCTTTAAAGTGTGTTTTTATCCAGGCTGTAAGTTTAGTGATGAATGTCTTAAAAGTTCAAGGAAAAGAAAAGGGGATTTTGTACTTCTTCTCCCAATAGAAGCCTCTATAATTAGAACACCTCCCAAATGTGTGCTTTTGTGTCGACTCGATTGGAGGAAAGTAGCTGTGAGCCCGGTGCTAAGTGTGCTCCTCAAAGTGCACACGCAGGACTTGTGGGGGCAGTGGTTGTGCTCCACACTGGGTCTGGTGGTCAGAGTGCATTTTGCTAGGAAATAGAGGCTGTCTGCCCAACAAGCTCAGCTGTGGAAAACAGCTCTGAGCTTCTTAGTCCATGTTAGGAATGAAAGCTGGGAGTGGGGTGCAGAGTTACCGGCTTCTTAGTGACTCTTTTCTCCATCTTTACTAAAATATAGCACTTAGCAGCCATTGAGACCCAAGATTTGAGAACTCAAGGGAACAGCACTGTAAGCAGAGCTCACCAAGATCATACCTTCTTTCTCGAATAAAACCACAGTAGGAGTATAGTCTATAGTAGCTATGTCCATATGCTTGTTTTCTAAAACAAGAGTAAAGTGTTACTTCATTTCCTTCAAAAGGAAAGAGAGCACTATGTTTTTACTTCTTACCAAATAAATCACTTATCAAGCTTTGGGGACAGTAGAAAGTAGCCCCTAAGTAATAGCATGAGTATGTATATTAATTACTTATACATTCTAGCTATGAACCAGTATATTCATTTTAACAAAAGCAAAAGGTAAAGAGGAACACTGTATTTCACTAACCTTATAGAGTAATCTGGAAGTGAGGTACTCAGAACAGGGAGAAAAGTGAGTCCAAGTTTCTGCTCAAAGAGAAGAGCTTGGCAAAAGGCTTTTCCACTGGGGTGGTATGGGGCAGACAGCCCATTGACTTGCATGCATCCCACAGGTTGGATGACTTAGAAGCACCTTAAAAACTTTCTGTGAGGAACTTAGAAATTAATGAACATGTTCAATTATTTGTAACCAATTAATTGAAATCAGTGTAAGCTTATTTCTGAATAGCCTGGCTATGAAAAGCAGTTTGTTTTCACAAAACAACAAGTGCAGTATGAGGAGCTGCCTCCAGCCTGACTCCTATGTAGTTTGGACCCTAAAGTACTTACTGCCCTTCTCCGCTCCTGTCCCCTATTCCCAGCATCTCCCTCTATTTCTAACTCCCTAGGTCTGCTGTTACCTCCCTTGGAGAATCTTCCTCATCTTTTCTTCAGCCTCCAAATGGTGCCAGTTTTAAAGACACTGCTGGCTTGAGCAAGGTCCACTTTCTGTTGCTAGTATAGCAGTTTATTAGCACATCTCCAAATTGGTCCACATCAGAGGTCAGCTAATCATGGCCCACTTTGGCCTGCTACCTGTTACTGTAAATAACCTTTTGTTGGAACCCTCATATGTGGCTATTGTCAGGCTACAGTGGGAGAACCTAAAAGTTGTGATCGACCATTTGGCCCACAAAGCCCAAAACATTTACTGTGTGGCCCTTGGCAGAAAAGTTTCTTAACATGAACAATGCCCAACACATCATCAGGAAGAAAAAAGAAATGCTTCTCATATGATACACATAAAAAGAACAGACACTTGATAAGTTGAAAAGCCTGTTGAATTTCTTGTGGACTTGTAGGCAGTACTGCTTTATGTGTGTGAATTTAAGAAAAATTTATTTCAAAATTTATGATAATATTATTACCTAAGTATGCTATTTCTTAGCCATAAGAGAGGCAAACATATCAGAGTGTGGTGTTCTTAGAGTTTGAGTGGCACTCACCTGCCTGAATCAGATCTGCACTCCTCTAGTTATTCACCGTGTGACCTGGGAACAAATACTTAACCATCCCTGTGCCTTAGATCCTCTCCTCCAACAGGAGCATTATAATAGTTTGTCCTCTTAGGCTGTGTATAAGGAATTCATGTGTCATATAGAGAACTTGCAATCAAGCCTCACACATAGTAAATATTAAGTATTTGCTTTTATTATTGTTGTTAATTCAATTCTTACTGCTAGAATCCTTGAGATGCTCCACCTTATTTTCTGGATAAATCTCAAACTTAGAAACCTGGTTCTCACGGGCTTCCTGGCAGTAGCCTCTTCCCCCTGATACCCCACGGCTTCAGGAAGCTCCTCAGTGACTATCTTGAACATTCTCTTGCCCCTGTACAGCATTCATGTTCACTAATTTGTGGATGTTCTTCCTTCCTCTGCCCTGTCCTCCTCTAGCAATAGACCCCACCACTTCATATTCATGTTCAGGATACTTACCTACACATACCACTTGGTCCTGACTGTTCTTCAAGTGCACAACAGAGAGAATTGCCTTTGTTTTCACAGGAAAGACTATGAAAGCAAGCAAGAGGAAAACAGGTTACCTAAGGGCCTGCTGTAGCCCCTCAGCTTCAAAGCCTGACCACCTATTCCAGAACTGCTTGTTCAAAGAAATATCAACTCACAGCTCCACAGAGGGTTCCTGGGCCCCAGTCCCAGCCAGACCTGCTCTTGGCTTGGTCTTTGTGCTTTTAGTTTTGTATTTTTTCATCTTTACCCCTCCTACTCCAGCACACACACACACGAGTACACACATGCATGTGCATATATGCGTACTGATTGTAAGCTTCCAAAGCACAGGAATCTGGGTGTGTTAACTTATATCTGCCTTACACCTAGAACAGTTGCTGGCATACGATAAGTGTGTAGTTGTGTTAGGTAGATGAGGAGAGTCTTCCTAGAAGGAGAAAGATATGACTAAAAAGAGTGTAATATATATTCTACAAGCACTAGTCTTTTGACTTTTTTTAAAATTTCAGTAGTCATTTTTTGAAAGCAACATGATTTATCGGTTAGATACATGGGTTCCAGAGTCAATTTGCTTGAACTTCAATCTAATCTACTAACTCTTAACTTTCCTCACTTGTAAATTGTGTTTTCTGTATTTCATATGGTTATTGGGATAAATGAATTCATCAAGGCAAAGCACTTAGCGAGGTGTCTAGAACACACTGAGGCTCAACAGTTAATATCTCCTGCTAGTTCTATCATGTTTGCTTTTACTTGAATTGAATTTATATACATGCAGTCAGAATATGAGATGTATAGGAAAAAAGGAGGAAACAACTACAGAAATTGTTCGCACTATGCAGGTGCCATTCTCTTCCCTGTGTGTGCACCCCCTATGGACAAGGGTTGGAGGTTAGTCGTGACTTCTCATTTAAGCCTCTACCCGTTTGTTTACCCTCATGCCACCATTTTCCTGAGCCCAGGGTCAAACTAGTTTTTGGAATCTAAGATAAGCACTAAACACATCAGCCACTTTATCTGGGGCTCAAGCAAAATTTTAAAAAGGTAGTTCTGACACTGGAGAAAAATGATATTGGACTAATGTCAGGAGGCTTACACAACACTCTCCTCTGGGGTCTTGAAGGATAATTTTGGTCTTAAATACATGTGCACTGCTCTAACAGGAGGAGGGAGTGAAGTGGTAGGCCTGTCTCACATTAGACTGGGAGTTACGATTGTAATTCACGATTTTAATTCAAACGTAATGTAAGGTGTTGAACATATTAAAGCATCAGTTCTAATATCCCACTGTCAAAGTAGCCTGCCTTGCCCCTCCCCATTTCAGGGGTTCATGTGTACTCTTTTGTCTTTGGGTTCTCCCTCTTGGACGTTAGGAATGTATGCAGAGAGCATTTGTAGAGATGTTAGCCTCATCCACACTAACAGGAAGGGCTAGTAGGTCATGACTAATACTGAGTGGTGAACACATTATTAGACAAAAAGTATTTCCTATGAATGTTTTCACAAATTTGAAGATTAAATAGAAGGTCTTAATTTGTGTTTGCTTTTTGTTTAGGTAACTACTCCAGACCCCCAACATATAGTGGGGTGCCCAGTGCAAGCTACAGCGGCCCAGGGCCTGGGATGGGTATCAATGCCAACAACCAGATGCATGGACAAGGGCCAAGCCAGCCATGTGGTGCTATGCCCCTGGGACGAATGCCGTCAGCTGGGATGCAGAACAGACCATTTCCTGGAAACATGAGCAGCGTGACCCCCAGTTCTCCTGGCATATCTCAGCAGGGTGGGCCAGGCATGGGGCCACCGATGCCCACTGTGAACCGTAAGGCACAGGAGGCTGCTGCAGCCGTGATGCAGGCTGCTGCAAACTCAGCACAAAGCAGGTATGCCACTCAGGATAATGCTGGGCTGATGTTCTGTGTGTTGATATGTGACCACATAAGGACTAGGCACTGCCTCATTTCCCTCGAGTGCATAAAAATACCCAAATATACTTTTGCTTGGCTGTTGGTTTTTGGTTTGGTTTGGTTTGGTTCTTGTTTTGTATTTTGCATTAAATATATTCTGTAATGTAAAGGTTAGAGAAGTATGTACGTAAGTGACAACATGTTTTACGATCCATGGAGGAAGGAATCTGAGAAGTGGGCATATCATTTTTGTTGGAGGGCCTTGAAATGTCTATGGATACTCATTGCAACCAGCAAAATAGATCTTGTGTAGGAAAGTGTCTATGGTTCCATTTTAAGACATGAGTTTGAAGCAGGAAACACTAAAGCCAAAAGTTATTTAAAGTCTGAAATACTGAAAAAGACACATGTCCTCATTTCCACTTTTTTTAAACTTTACCATAAGAATCTTTATAAAATAGAAGTTTTGAATGTGTACACATGTATACTGTGCTTTGGTCTGAATGTGTATGTGTAGATTTATACATTCCATATCCCTTTGTTGTGTTTTACTTTTCTGGCCGCACCTCTCCATCTCTCCAAGTCAAAATATGGTTAATGAAGCAAAATAATGTTTACAGAAGTTTAAGTTGATAGAGCAAGGCTTAAGCTTCCTTTACATACTTGTTTGTAGTCCTAATTCTAAATATTGTCTCCAATGTTAATATTAATTCTAAATATTAAGTCTACTTGGCTCAAATAAAAATAATTAGAAATTTCAAAGTCATAGATAACTATGTTTTAAAAGAAGATGTAAATATATCTTCCAGTAAAGTATGTTGAAAGTTGTACCTCAGTGGTATCATCAGAAGAAAAAATAGATTATAACTTTTGTCAAAGGGAAACTACTATACAGCAAAAGCTAATTGTGTGTGTGTGTGTGTGTGTGTGTGTGTGTGTTTTCAAATGTGCCCCTGTGTTCGTTTTCTCTGAAGGTGCTATTTTGTGAAGGTAGGAACCCCTTGGTCTCATTGTTTACTCCAAATAATAATAAATTTCCCTTGAGGAATTAAAATGAAAATCCTCTTCTCTCCCTCCTCTATCTCCCTCTCCCTCCCCTCTCTCTTTCTCCCTCCCACATTACAGTCTTTTAGGGTCTTCTGTACCCCAGCTTCTACCTTGCAGCTGAACCCATGTAGGCTCTAGGGCAGTGATGGCAAACCTTTTAGAGCTTTCATTGATAACAAACAGCCAGCTGTGGCATGTGTGCCGTGGGTTCCCCACCACTGCTCCAGGGACTGTTTGAATAGACCTGTCTGTGAAGGCTTCTTTGGCTGTCCAATTGAAGTTCTAATTTAGATTTAAATGGATTGTGCATGGTTGGAACTCATAAAGCACAAGTTATTTTCCGTCTGTTAAGTAGAAAGTATGTGATTGCTTTTGGCGTGAAGCCTCTGTTGGTGATTTGAGAGGAAGAAAACCACAGATTAAGGCAGAATTCTGCTTGATTAAAGTCTTGCTGTGTTCCCTTTTCGAATCAGTATATGTATCTTGTAGAAATTAATGTGCAAAAACACATCCATGCTTATATTTTTATTTCCTCATCCTAACCAGTAGACCATTCCTGAGCTTTGCCTTCACAAACTGCCCATTTTAAGATCGGGCTGTTTACTTTTTATTTTACCAAAGTCAAATCTGTAAACTGAGAGTAGATCTGAAATTGATCTCAGATTTGAGATTAGATCTTAGAATCTTACTTTCTCTCTCCTTTGCCCTGTCCTCCACTTTTTTCTTCTTTTAAGGAATTTTATGAGTCCCACAGCCTGGCAGCTGCATGATTGAGGATATTCTGCTTGTTTACTCTAGCCTGTAATCCTCACACCTGTGTGTGAAGCAGCGTGTGAACAGATCTAAAGAGGCTGTTTCTCTGTTCTACTTTAAACCACCATACATTAGGTTGCCTGCTTATCCCAGCCAGTCTGGGGCTGGCGGACATGCCATGGTTTCTTCCCAGCACCCAGGCTCCCATGATACACCACCCTGACCAGTACTGCTAGGTAGAATCACTCCGTGGGCTTGCCAAGGCAGCCTTGAGCATTTTCTTTTAAACATGCCATCTGGCTGTAGAAGCAACACCCAATCCAAGGATTCAGAATGCCTCACAGGAAATCTATCTTAGAGGGGCGTGTCCTTCTATTTTTGTTTGTTGTGTTTCTTTTTTTCCAGTTTTAGTATACGTGCTGCTGAAATGAGCACTCTTTTAATTATTTTCTTAACAGTTCTGTGGCAGTTTGGTGGAAAATCACACGCCACCTTCTAGGTTCTCTCCGCATGACTTTTGGCATGGCTGTTTTTCTTCATGCCTGAGAGGGAAAACAGTAAATTCTGTCTCCATAAAAGCAATGGAATTATCTACTCCAGCACCCTTTTCTCCTTTACTGTTGTTGTTTTGTTTAGGAATCTGTGCTGTGTAGCACTTCTGTCATGACTATTTGATGATCATTCCTGCCACCACACTAAGATGCAGTCACACCTACCTGTACCCAGAGCAGCATGGCATGTGTGTGACATGAGACTCATGCAGTCGGATAATCTGGGCTGCTCGCTTGGGTGTAGGAGAGGGTTCAAAATGACATTGCTCAGCCAACAGCTGCAACAGAGTTCTGTTATTTCCTTCCAATGAGTATTAATATATCAAAATGACTAATAAAGTACAAAAAAATATTCCACAGAATTTTCCACCTAAACATGATGTGGTCATTTCAATATAGGCATACTAATTTCAATACAGGAATTACATAAGCAGCAAAAAGTTATCTCTCCTCTTTGCTACAAAATGATGTAACACCAGATTCTGTCACCATTTTGAAGTTAATAAGTACTCTTAAAGCATACTGTTATTGAACAATTTACTGACATCATTTACTGTATATTAATGATGACATTGTCATATACAGACTTAATTGTGATTGGTACTTTTGGTAGAGACATCCCTCACCCTTGGTCAAAAAAAGAGACATGTCAATTAACTTTGTTTAAACAGTAACTTTAGAGAACTATGCTTTTACTATTTTTATGGATGCATGACACAGAAAGCTTTCTTTTTTTTTTTTTTTTGGGGGGAGGAGGTTTTCTCCGGTACCAGGAACCGAACTCACGCATGCATGACATAGTCTCAAGAGTCATGCATCTGGCCCAATCTTTTGCGCTTGCCAGGCAGGTGCTTTGCCGCTGAGCTAAATCCCCAGCCCTGACACAGAAAGCTTTCTAATAGTTTTATATTCAGTATACATTTAGCCTGCAAAAGCAATTGAACACTTTGTATTTTAGAGTTCTAAATTCTGTAAACATGGTCCTTAACATGGACCAACAAGTACAGAATTCTTCAAATGTAATCCTCAAGGTGAAATAACCACTACAGAATGAAGTAAAGATACTAATTCTTGGGAAATTTTCTTGTCTTCCTTTGTACTTTCTCTTGGCACCTTCAAGGTCAGTCTGAGTGAGTCACTAGGACGCAACAGTGGGGAAGAAAGGCATTCATCATCAGCTACTGATCCACAGGCTCTGTCCTTTACCAACTCAGGAGTGCTGTTTAGACCCACAAAACTAGCCTGGCTGTGCCTTGCCAAGCCACATTAAGCAGCTGTGTAAAATGAGTTTAATGGCATGCATCAGAGTAAAATCTTTTTCACTGGGGCAGAAAATCAATGTTAGCTAACCAGCAAGAGAAGATCAAACCTCTATTTCAGCCAGTAGCATCCATACAGCTTCTTTAGAATACAACACCTCCTCCTTAATTAAAAAAAAATCAGAGGAAAAAATGTTGGGATTATTCTGTATAAATCTTACAAAGTGCACTTGGCAAAGGCTTGTCTCTGCAGTCCTGTGCCTATTGGCTATGAATTTGGCTTTTCATGTCTGCAGGATTCTTTCTAAAAAAGAAAGAAAAAAGTTTTATTTATATTTTAAATCTTCCTTCTGTTCTGCTTTGCAGTGCACATAGGCTCTTGTTCTTTTTTCCTAAAGCAGAACTGAACACAAGAAAACACATGTTACATGTTTTAGTGCTACCTCTCAGAGATTTGATTTTCATCATGCTTTTGCTTTCCTTATGTAACAGCTCATTGCAGCACACTTCTGTTGTTGGTTTTGTTTTTGTCTTCTTCCCCCATTGACAGCTTGTCAGTGAAAGGGAGATTGGTTATTTGAAAAGCCAGCTTTCAAAATGTCAGTTTCCCTTTTGGAAAGGAGGCAATGGCTTGGGTCTTTCAGAAACTCAGTATTCAGTTTGTCATAATGGCCTCTTCCTCATGTCAGAATCCCAAAGGACCTGGAGCCTGTGAAAGAATCAGAAAAGGACAAATTGATGATGAAGGTGGGGTATGTGTCAGAGTGTGTGCCTGCAGTTAGAAGCAGAAAGATCAGTGTAAAAATGAAGAATTACGGCAAGTATGCATCAGGCTATCGCAGCCAAGTTGAATATAAGACAATATAAAAGCAAAAACACACAAGTTTAACTAGTTGGAAGCCATCTTATTAATTCTTTTTTTTTTTTTTCCTGTAAATGTAACATCCACCTGCTATGTTGAATAAGAAACATATGAATATAGATTGTTTTCTTATTTTGACCTTTTGAGTGAAGGAATTCTTCATTTTAGTGATGACAAGAATTCGGTAGATGTTGGATCTCATTCTGGGCTAGGTTGGCTGTAATGATGCCCAGTTATTTGGAATTGATGATTAATACGTAGTAGCTATATAGAAATAATATACCTTTTGCTCAGAAAATGCACTGCAGTGTTTAGTATTAAAGCATTAATAATTAATGCAATGTTATTTTGAAGATTTGAGAAATAGAATTGGAAATACTCGTTGGTCTTAGTAAAACCCATTGTTGGTGGTTTTCTGCAGCCAGGTTGGAGGATTCTGAGCCACTGTTTAGTGTAAGAGAGTCATAGTCTGCCAAAAGTTTGGGAAAGACCTCCAGCTCCTGA